ACTCCCCGCGCTCTGGTGACATTTAGAGAGCATGGTTAAATAGCTTACAGCTTGTTATCAACACTTGAACACTGAGACAAGGTGACAACAGTTAGACTTCTCAATTATTAACATTTTTTAATGTTCAGAATAATTTGAAGAGCCTCAATCAACAAAGACAGCTACATTCTTAACCTCTTAATGAAAACCATTTAAATCAAGTTCAAGATACAAAGTTAAGAAGTTTGCAACAAACTCATTCAGCAGTCATACATCTAATTCTTACCTGGTAGCTTTTAACTTTTGAAAGAATCTACCACTAACAGGATAAGGTCATCTTCGCAGTTTATATTTCTAGTTGGGTCAAGAACATAATAAACAGCAAAATCCAATTACAAATCTCTTCACCTAGCTTTTTTCAATAGTTTTCAATTGTTCACAGGAACTGTACTATCAAATACATATTTAAAATGTCCCTACTAACATATCATCAATATTCATACATGCTTCCAAAGTCTATGCCTTTTTACCCTACCCAACACAAATGTCATTAAAGACTAAAAGAACAAAACACACAGGATTCTTTTCCAGTGAAGGCAGATCGTTGTATGTTCTGTTGCTAATACCTAATCTCCGGAGTATTCTTCACAATAGCACTCACCAACCATTCTCCTCTAGGCTTCCAATACCCTGTTTACCATCCTCTCTTTCAAAGAACAACCAGTGTTTACTACCTTCTTCCTTTCACAAAGGGCCAAAAAAAAACAAACAAAAAAACAAAAAAACTATGCTTTATCTAAACGTTAGCATTTCCTACTAATTGCAAACCCAACAAATGTGCCACAAGCCCTACGCTACAGAACAGTGATGATTTCTTAACTAAACTGGGAAAGAGCAAATCCTTTCCACATCAACCTCCTGAAATATTTCCTCTTTAAGGAGGAAAGGGTCACAGGAGGTTTTTAATGACCTGGGGGGGGGGGGGGCCCTGCAGGGGGTGCGCGCCCTTTCAAAGGCGATTAGAACGGGACTGGTCATACTCTGTCTCTTAGGTAAACAGAATAATGGACCTCTCTGAAATACAACTGGTGGCAGGTCTCTTCTGAAAAATAAAACAAATTAGTTCCTTCTAAACTGAGGAACATTTAACAACTTGCTCAGGTCCCTGGAGGAGAAAGCACTATTTGCTTAGATGTGGAAGGAGAGGAAAAAAAATTCAAACCTTTTTGTTTATTTAATTCTTTACACATATTTATATTTGATTAACAACATATCTGTACTATATTTACTGAAATTACGATTACTGTTTCTGTCAATTTATTCACTTTTAAAATTAATAAATACATTATTACTAAAGAAAACTGTTTTCACTCTCCTTTCAGCTCCATAATCCAGAGGTGCCCACTGCTGCTTCTCTTGAAGCTTACAGTCAATAAGATGACCCTGAAAAGCCAGTTTCCGATGAAAGACAACATCTGTAAGAAGAAAACCACCCTGCAGTACAGGTAGGGCACGCTGGCAAAGCTGAGGTCCCCACAGTGCACAGAACATGGGCTCTCCTGGTGTCCGTTTGGTGCCTTGGAAAAGGTCTCTTAAGCAATTAAAAGAAAATTCTAAAACTGGAGAAGGAATGTATTTAAAAGTTTTTATATATGTTCTATTAGGAAAATGCCTACTGAATAAAACATAGTAAATACTCTAAAAAGATCCTAGTCTAACAGGGCCAAGACAACTATAAAAATAACCACAATAAAGGATAAACAGTGAATGCCACAAAGATGAAAATACAACAAAAACCTCAACAAAAAAGTGCATTAAATAAAGGAGTTAAGTTTATAGCATTTTTTAGACCTCCTACTGTTTATTTTGGTTAAATTCTGGCTTCAATTCATATCAATATTAGAGACAGAAAAAAAACTATAGAATGTACTCTAATTTTAAGTGATAATATTCCAAGGAGGCAGAATTCTTCAAACTAATTTTTATATTACATGCTTGTATTTTAAGAATTGTTAATAATGGTTATACAAAGGGTATGTAAGCTAATGTATCTCAACAGGGAAATAGCTGTGTGATTAAGAGGTATAGAAGTAAGTGGACATTATTAAGGACGATTTGTTCTGAGATTAAGTCTGAGCGCATTAAGTGAGAAGCAAATAATACTGGTCATGGCCCCAAGGCAAACAGAGGACAAGTATTAATTTATCAGTCATTAGTTTCATGTAGATGATTTGAAGATCTAAGTTGGCTGGGAAACATAACTGTGTTAGCTACTGAAGATCATCAAGAATTTAATGGCATGCAAATACAGACAAATGCCAGTTCAAACAATGGTGAGAGGACAACTAACTAAGGGATCAGATTATAGGTCTTGCATAAAGATGTTGGAAAGGTCCTGACTGCTTGTAACAACGGAGAGTTAACTGCATAACCAACACAGGCTAAAGAAAATACTGTGTGTGCAGAAAAGTATTACAAGATCTCTCTCAATATAAGCAAAAAGGATAAACCATAACCACTTGGGAAGGTTCCTCCTATAGTCACATATATAATAAGACTTAACTGGTTATACATTAGAATCATTGTGTTACATTTTTAAAAAGTACAGATAAGACACAATTTCCTTAGTTACAACCTACAAAATCAGAGGTTACAAATATGGTGGATTGTCTTTTACATTAAGTAAAAAGACAAAGTTTATATTACTGATATTGAAAAGAAAAAAATGCAGCGTATCTACAAAAGACTCCATAGGAAATTCAGATGTGATAACAAGTGTACAAGTAGTTTTTCACAGTGCTTTTGGTATCAACTTAGCCAGGTTGGAAAACTAAAATATTTAATAAATATAACACTAAAAATATATGATATTAGAGCCATACTGAGTATCAACAAACCTTTCCACCAAACTATAATCGCCTTAATGGTGTACGACATACAAATGCAGCATCCACATAAATAAAAACCTATTCATAGACTTTAAATAGAAACTTTCTATTCAAACAAAGCTTGTTGAAAGGAAAGTGGGGCATTAAAATTCACTTAAATAAAGCCAATTTTTATCTTAACAGATTGGGGGTGTGGGGAAGGAGGGGTTAGGTACACTGTTTGATCCACATAGTTTGTCCTCCATTCAGTGACTAGCATGGCACTTCTACATAGTCACCGTAAAACCTGAAAACTCTGCTCTCTAAAAAAATATCAGTGAAATGTTATTGAGTCAATCAGCATCTTATTTATCTGTGAGTTACAAAAAAAAAAATAAAGAAAACACCAATTGGGACATTTCTTTTATTAAAAGTTTCACAAGAAAATCTATGTTATGAGCAACCTGAAATACTCTTGGGAAGTAGGCAAGACAAAGAAAGATGAAGAAAGAAAGCAAGTCATTATGTGATGTATATACAAATAGAACAATTCAGAAAGCTTAAAACTGTTGATGAATATACTGACTCCCTTCCTAAAATACTTCAGCCCCAATATCAGCACTGAATTTAAAAAGAACCGGCCCAGAGCAGCCCTCTGCAGCCGATCTTCTGGGCGCCCACACTTGGGCGGCACAGGGGAAGCAGCGCACCGCACGCTGTTCTTACAGCTCCACAGAGCACCCGCGTCCACAGGCAACCAAATGCCCGGCCTGTGCATCAGGATATGTCACCAGCCAATGACAAACCTAAAAGCTAGGATTCTCTAAAAACACTGAAGATCTGGTGGAAGAAAAGTGGCATTCATTGTCCATCTGCTTCCCAGGAGCCAACTTAAATTCCTAAAACTATGAGCCAATTTCCAAATATTCTAGCAAATGTTCCATTATCAACAGTATTCTCTCTCTTTCCCCCTCCCCTGTCTCTCTCTCTCTCACTCACTACATGTTCTCCAAAGCTGTGATTTATCTACTAAAGAAAAATCCTTAGAGCATAACACACAGAATCCATCACCTTCTTCATTTCTTCAGAAACCAAGCAACTACACAGTAAATATTCCACTGTGATTAAAAACATGACCACAATACATTTCACCCACCATAGAAATAAAAGCTGTAAAAATAGGGTTTCAAAAACATGTGCATCAGATTCTAAGATAACAGACATCCTATAGCCATCACTTACCTTCTTCTCTAAGGCTACATGGAAGTTGCAAACAGGTGCAGTATACACGGCAAATGCCATGTGTAACATCCATTACAAAGGCTTGTCCTCAAATGTTTAGAAGCAATATGATAAATCTTAAACATATTTAATATCATGGTTAGCCTGAGCTCCTACCTTATATTTAACTTAATTTATAATTAACTTTAGAAGTCTAAATTTCTTAATAGAGATTAAGTAATAACAATAATTCCTCAAATCAGAACATTTTAACAAGAAAATAAAACTTTGCACAGACGTATTCTTTTGGTTTATAAGGAAAACCTTATTTAAAGTAGGTTGCCTATTAAAAAAGCAAAGTAAGCACAGAGGGACTGTCTGTGGGCATCGATACGATAGAGCCACTACTCTGGTCATGTGTTTCCGCCACCAAACAACATTTGCTCGTGGAAATACTTACATGCTGCTTTTTCTAATTTCAGGCTGAAATACTTTCTTTTGGGTTACTTCTCATATTATAAAGTTCCAGAAGACATTCAAACTGCCACCGGATGCTTTATCTCATCATGTATACCCTTTGCCCAGTGGGAATGCCCTCCCACTGAACTCCTGTATAGACACCCCTGGTCCGTACGACTGCCAGAGAGCAACAGGCTATACAAAGTGCAAGTGGACTACACCTTTCTGCCGCACACCCACCAGCCAAAGCAAGCCTTCCAGCTGAACTCAAGAGACCCCTACCACTGGAGTAAACTTATCCGGGGCTACACTGCTCCTAAAAATAAAACCCCAAAAGAAAAAAATCACAAATATATCTGAAATCTGGAAACTTCTCTTCTAAACCTTAGTATAAAGTAGAATAAACAAAAACGGCAGCTCTTTTTAAAAATCTTTAACTCGTTACATTTCCAAATCAGCATATTAATGTCTTACTGGTAAACTTGATGGTCTTTCTTGTTGTATCAGGTTCAAGTCTTCGTGGTTAGGTTTCCCAGGAGCCATAGGAGGTTGAGACCTAGTTCCATAGCCTTCCTGAGACATGTCCTAAACAAATGCAAACATAAAGCACTTCATAAATATCTTCATGAGTCATAAGCTTCTTCAGTAACCAAAATGAAGAAAAGGTTTATTACAAACTATCAACTTCTGTTACCTTTAAGTAGACAAAGAATGTTATAACTATCATTTTTTAATACTCTATCAAAAGTGAAAATGAAAGTCAAAAAAGGCAGTGAATCCTCAAGAGCACAGACAGGTATATAATTAAGATATAAAATTATCATGAGACCATATGAACTAAAGCCTGCTGTTGAGTTTTGCAGGGAGATGACGCGTGAGTGAAGGATGGGGAAGGAGGTCCACGATAACCAAACTTCCTTCTGAACCAAAGCAACGTAAAAGCTCACTTTACTGTTTAACTCTGATTTCGGCTGAGGTGCCTTTAATATTACCTTGAAAATGTTAAAATAATTATTGAAAACTTTACTATCAACTGACTTTTAATATGTCCTCTCCATAACCCACAAAACACCACCATTATTAAGCTCACAGTGTCCTGGGATTTCTACAAAAGCAATAAACACTATGTATACAATTCCGTATGTTCACGTGGCAGGGTTTCCAGAGAACCACAATAAAGGAAAAAACAGCAGTGGGGAACGAAACACACCCAAAAACCCTGCTGAGGTACCAGAAACTTATCATTAACATGGCCTTTCTGGCACCCTGTCAAGCACTTTCCCAGGATGCATTCTGCATGGTCTCAGTGTTGTGCTGAAGTGGTGTTATATAAACCAAATCCCACACCGCACCAAACTGACTATACACCAGATCCCTCGCTGGTTAATATGTATGCTCCGCTACTAAACATTCTACCACCACTGACGCCCGAAGTCAAACAGCAGGACAGAAAGTGAAATACTTCTTGCAGCACGTCTTAATTGGCACTCAAAGTTGAACAACCAGTTTCCGATTGAAGAGGGAAAAAATGGAAAATATCCCTTAAAAATAAAGTTCTCTTCCTTTCCCTACCAGTTTAAATGTGTTAGAATTAATGAAACATAATATGTGTGTCCTACTTCTCCTGTTAATTCCTCAAAATATGACTTTAAAAATTAATGTTTATTTAAAAAAATTAAAGTTTACTACTTGAAACCCTATAAAAAGCTTCTGCCGCCCTATCCCTTTCTCGCACAGTGTGCATTTAAAATTACATGGCTCCTTCAGCCAAGAAACTTTGGACCAGTAGCTGGCACTGCCAGGCACACCGGCCCAGTGCCGGGGCCGCCCGCCTCTCCACAGGCTCAGCGGTACGGATGGGCCAGCAGGCCAGCATTTCCCAACAACCCTTCTCCCCTTTAATAGACCCACACACACAATTAATCAGGGTGTCTAACCTCTAACAGCAATGCCCAGTCAGTAGTATACTTTTCTGAGGAAATTAAACCCAAGTTGCCCAGGTTTTTAACTTTTAAGAGTCAGGTAAGCACATGCAACCCAAGGATACCTTTAAAAAGGGTAGCTCCTCAATCTGGTGGCCCGCAGAGGGTAACCATGAGGCTGCGGGGGACACCAGCCAGTGCCGAAAGACGGTCGCCACTCTCACTGCCCCCTGCCCCCAATGCTGGGTCCCAGACTTCCACTTGTCACACGGGTCTCCCGCTGGCTGCCCTGCAGAGTCCTTTAGATTAACAGCAGGGATTTCAGATCAAGTAGGGCACAAGGCCTCCATTCAGGGGCCTTCACCCTGTTATAAAGCCCCCCACAAAGGTGCAGGACAGCCTCACAATAGGCAAACAAATGAGCAGACCCCCGCTTGCTGCACACGCAAACACACGCACACGCTTGCGGGAGGTGCTCAGACCCTTATTTTAGCAAAGCTTCAGTTAAGAAGCAGGAACCGGCTCATGTGCCCTATGCCTATTATTAGCCTTTTAAATTTCTTATTTGCTCTTTGTAGCTAAATGAACTGACGCTCTAAAAAGCTGAAAAAGGCCATTACAACTATAGTGAATACACATTTCAATTTAAATACTGACCGCTGTAAAATAAGCAACACAGAACTAGCTGACTGTGAAAACTATCAGAAAATTTTACTAAGACTTTACATTTCAGTTGTTAACGCTTTGTAGATTCCACCAGTCTCCTAACCACAAGAGGCTTTCAATTATTAAATACAGTTGAAAATAAAAAGTAAAACAAAATTTAGTGAGAATCGCTGAAAATGGGACTTGTTCTGCTTCAATTTATGTTTGAACATAAGCATTAATTTAACTGAGAGAACATCCAGAAAAGGTAGCAAGTATTAACCGAAGACAATCATCATCTATATATAACTTACAGTGGGACTATAATGTCGATGCTTGGCAGCTTTAATAAAGACATAAGCATTCTATCTGATAACAAACCTGAGCTTCTTCCCCTTCAGAGCTGTTTTTACTCTCTGGTATGTACTTATTTTCATCTCAAGAAGAGTGAAGTAGAAATAAGTAATTTAATAGACAATAAGAGGGCACTGTCAGCCTCAAAAAATAAAGAATATGTTCAGCATCACAGTTTATAAACAAACGAAAACTAAGCACAGCCTCACATTTTTTAAAACATCACTGCCATCTTTGGTTATTTACAAGTTTAGACTAGCTTATACACTAGTTTATGCACACAAATTATTACTGCGTTCATCTGCCATTCATATATAAAGCCATGACTGTATATCCCCCACTTTTCCAGAGTTCGCTATGTGTCACTTCACTTTAACGAAAGACCTACATTAGTACGTTTTCTCTAACAGAAAAAAAATCTGAAGAGGCGATTCCCTTCTATGGGAGAAAAAAAAAAAAAGTGAAAATAGTGTTCAGTGTCTGTTTCGCATGAGCCATTACAGACGCAGCCAGTGCCCTGCAGGAAGAGAGGTGCTGCATCTCTGCCATTCTGTGCACCCGTCAGCGAGAGGTGTCCTAACCTAACTGCCTCTTCACTCTCGGCTACTTCGGTTTACGAAAGGCTCCACAGGGAAGCTCTGCCTTTGGATGGTGGGGGAAGGCTGCAGTGCACTGCAAAAGAACCAGGCCAGGGGGACTCGGTTCTGTCCTCTGGAAGCTCTCTGTCAGTACTGTTTTCCTTCTCACTCCCAAAGTTTTAACCACTGATGGATTCTGGTTTTCATCTCCTTTACACTGAGGCAAAGGTACCAGGGAGACTAGCTCACAACAAAAGTGTGAAAACAGCTCGGGGGCAGAGGCGTGCACACACTGGTTGCAGAAGTCTCTGTTCGAACAGACGCAGGCCTGAGCCCTTCAGGGCGCCCAGTGAGGACCACTGCGGGGTTCGGCGGGAAGCGGGGCAGGAGGGAAGCCGGAGTGCCCTGCCTGCTTACACGGCAGGAAGCGGAACACCAAGCGGTCACACGGTCCAGTGTAAAGGCCAAGAACACAAGGGCTCCTGTGTTCATTTCAAATAGTGAAATACCAGTGACAACAAGACTCTGAAGAAAATGTAGACTAAAATGTCAAGGACACTTTGAAATAATTAAAAAGGAAAAATTATGGTGTGAGTTCGAAAGATGCAATAAGATAAAGAGTGAAAAGAAAGGCTGCCTCCTCCTTCTTAAGATCCACTGCCCCACCCACGCCCCACAATGCAAACGAAGGCTCAGATGCACCAAGAATAAACTCACAACTGTAAACTTACTTTTGCCCCACCCTGTATTTCTGTAGCATGAAATCTCCACAGGTGGGACTTCTGCCAAAGGGTTGGTACATTTAAGATTTTGATAGAGACTGGCAAAGTGCTCTTAAAGGCAGAGCCAAAATACATTCTCAGCCCGTCCTTTTGGAACAGAGCACAGCTGTACTGAAGATGTTCACCTCAGCCTCACATTATAAAATGCAGCAAACCCAGAGCAGTGAAGAAGATGGAGGATTGGTAGACAGTAACCAAAATCCAAAAACAAAAGGACCTCAACAATTTAGACAAACAGCAGTGGTACTAAGAGTCTGAGGAGGACGAGTCCGGAAGCTGGCGAACACTGGTTGTCTTTATAGTGACAAGGAGCCACGCGGCTTCTGGATGTACCACCATAACGTTTCTCGTGTTATTTAAGAAACATTTTTCCAATAATTGCAGTAAGTATAGATATGCTAGAAAGAGAACAAAGATGGCCCCTTACTACTGTTCAACAGACCCAGAGTGAGGTGGCGAGGTTCCGAGGGTCTCACCACATCCTGCAATACCTATGTCAGAAGAGTTTACTTTCTCGCTCCTTTTCGATCCCTGCTTTGGAAACTTTTCTCATCAATTTCAAATACTTACAGGGAACAGAAATGGCCCTGCTGTGAAAGACGTATTTACGGGGCATTTCTTCCACAGGGGTGGGGGGAAGAAGGAGTCACCTCCACAGAGAAAATGCCTCGGGGCCGCACAGGGCTGCCACACTCACATGAAATCATCACCCCACTCAGGAAACTTGGCATGCTATTGACCCCTCCCATTTTTAGTTCGTAGATAAATAAATTTAGAAGATCCCTTCTAAAGGAAAGCAAAGTAAATCTATAACCCCCACTTCAGGAGCGGCACAGGCAGCCCTGCGGCCTCAGGAGCGCCCTGACGGTGGGGTCGGCCGGATCGGCGGGGACAGCGGGCCTTGGCAGGGAGGCGCGGCAGCCGGCAGCGCGCATAGCCCGTCTGCGCAACAGTCCCGTGCGACGGGCCCGCAACCACCTCCTTCTTTACCAGGAAGACACGAAACCTCGAGAAACCTGTGCAGCTCCTGTCTGAGCGCAGTACCAGAAACTCAACATGAGGGACCAGGCGTCATTTCCAGCCTAATTGTACTTCAGAGACAACTGGAAGCTTCAAGCACTATATTACCTAATAAGGATTTAAAGTAATTTTAACTTTTTAGGGCATTATCCTAGGCTTCTCTATGTCCTCCTAAATTCCCCTTTCAAAAATTATATAAATTATGTATCTTTATTGTTTTATACGTGGGATACTTCCAAAACATTCAACTACAACCTTACGAATAAAAAACAGTAAAATAAGAC